GAACACAAACGCAATGGCTCTCCTCCCTTGTCTACCTACCAGCAGTTGGGGCTGTGCGGCTCCCACTAGCCCAGAGAGAGGCCTCTGTGCGGGCTAGAGAGAGGCCTCTGTGCGGGCTAGAGAGAGGCCTCTGTGCGGGCTAGAGAGAGGCCTCTGTGCGGGCTAGAGAGCGGCCTCTGTGCGGGCTATAGGAGCTTTGGGAGAAGACGACCTTGCCCGGACAGTGAGATGCTAAGCTCCACACAGAGGGATCCACAAACCAGAGCTTTCGCTCTGCAAAGTTCTCCAGGTTCAAAAAGCTGATTAAACAAGGATCAAGGAGGTGGTTAATTTCAAAGGCGGCAACAACCTAATCCTTGCAGCTCCCTGTAAGAGAGAGAAAAATATGGGCACAAGATGCAGATTAACACTGGGACAGACCCAACGTGTGGCCGCATTCTTGTTACAGGCTGGGTGTCCAATCTGCCAACATGTCATCTAAATTGTGGCCACTTTAGAGAATGCTGAGGTGGTATCATCTTGAGGAGGACTACAGGATGGCATGCAGGCCTCGGAGGCCACGCTCTGCGCAGGACCAGATGTCGACACTCCAGGCTGTGTGGGCCAGATGGTCTCTGCTGTAATTACTCAGCTCTGCTCTAACAGGCAAAGGCAGTGCTGAGCGCCGACGGGGGCTGTGGAGCGTGGCTGTGCGCCACCATGCGGTGACGGGCAGTCAGTCCTGTGCTGTAGTTGGCCCGTGCCCCAATCTAGACTGCAGAACCCAGTTGGGCAGTGGGCTTCACATCTGAGCTGTGAAACCTGGAACTGGGGGTTGGGGGTTGCATTTGGTACTGCGTTTAAGCATTAAGTATCCACCGGCTGGTTAAGCTTCCTGCTCAAGTGCATCCTAGAGCAGCTCTCGTAGGCGAGTCCATGTCCCCCAGTGGACTTGAGTCCCCAGCTCTGGCTGCTGCAGGCATTACAGCAGTGAACCAGCAGACCGGGAGCTCTCATCTGTCTTCGCCACTTTCACAAATTTCAGGAACCCATAATGCTTTTTCCTGACTTTTCCTCAAAATCCTCATGTCTTCAGGAAGAATCTCTTTGGTTGCCTTAGCAATGTCAAAAATTCAAAACACAGCTCTGTGTCACTCAAGAGCCCCGGAAGGCAGAAGAGCAGACAACCTGTGCTTTCAGGCCACTAGGAAAGGCAGGACCCTAGTCCCATACAGACTTCCCACTGAGTCTGCAAGACCAAGCCGTAGCCCTTCACATTAAAGAAGCCTGGCCCAAGGCAGCGCCTTGTGAGTGGAGGGGCCTTCAAAAGAGAGAAGAAACCGAAACTACTAAAAATATCAGATTCATCCATCAGCCTCAGTAGGGCAAATTGGGCATTCTTGGTGCTAGCTGAGGGGTCACCGCTTCCAAAATAAATTCAAAATAAATACCATTGGGGTGTATGCCAAGTCACTCTGCTCCAGAGAGAGGCGAGACCTTCACAAGGCTGGGGCACCTGACAGCTTAGACATGGAAGACGGGCTCCCTGGAGCGGGCTGGGCTGAGGCAATGGCAACCCCATTAAAGCTGGCACAGAGGCGACTCCTGAGTGCCCCCAGAAGTCTGGGAAAGGAAGGCACCTGATTCACTTTGCATTCAGCTGTTTCATTTGAAATGGGCAGAAATAAAGTAAAGATAGCAATTTATAAATTGGAGAGTTTCATAGCTCAGTAGAAGGCAGGACTTTATCTAGAAGGCACAGCCTCCTTGGGCAAGGGCACTTTCTAAGGCAGCCACGCAGGACATAAAAGCTAAGCCAGTTATGACAGAAGGCCATGTGCCTATCTTCAGCCTCTTGTCTGTACGCCTGATACCACTGCTGCCAAGTCAAAGTGATTTGCAAGTATTTGACGGCCTGGAATTTGCAGTATGATATTATTTCCAAAAGTCAGAATAAAAATCTTTTAACTCTGACTTAGCTAGACTCTGGCTTCATAGAGTGGAGATGAAGAGGGGAGGCGGCAGTGTTACAAGTGATTTCTGAGAGAAGGTAAGAGCTGAGGAAAGAGCGTGCAGGACAGGACAGGAGGGGCTGCCCTCCACCTGACCTGTCCCCCACCTCAACACCCCTAGTCCCCGGCCACGGCCACTGCTGCAGTGTCCACGAAAAGAAGGGTCTTGGGGGAAAGTGGGAGCTGCAGGGGGCTTGGGGACTGTTCAGCTGTGTTCCAGAGCTTTCCATGCCACTCTGACCAACGAACGTGCTTTAACCCCAACACTGCAGACTCTTCTCTCCCTCTCTCGTGATTCAATTTTACTGACCTGACATGGCTCCTTTGGAGCCAGGTCCACTAGCCTGAATGACAACATCATAAGCCTGGCTTACAAGCCTTTGAGAGAACAAACATTATCCCTTGTCAGATGCAACAGCTGGAACACTCCAGCAGAAAATAAACAGACAATCTACCTAAAAGAGGAAAGGAATGCGATCTTTTACAAAGGCGTTGTTCTTCAGCCCTTCCCTTGGTTATCCTGTCCCGTGTAGGTGCACGCCCTCAACCAAGACAAAGTCCGTTCATGCAACATGACATACCGCTCACTGGATGACCAAGAACCAAGTCACTGCCATTTTGTTTCGTTTTTTCCATAATGTTTACATAGTTGATTAGGGTGGAAAGGGTTAAGGATTAGTGAAAAGTGGGTGAAACCACTGTTTCCAAATTTTCTTTTTCTTCCTCTTGTATCTGGGCAAAAGGGGGAGATATTATCTAGGAGAGAAGCCACACCCAGCCTCCCAACCACCTCAGTACCTGGGGATAGGAAACAGCCCCCCAACGTCATCCCAGGGTCCCGATGTGGAGCATGTCTGGAGGGCTCTGCTCAAGTGATTTTGATAGTTCTGAAATGCTGTTGATCTCACCAATCCAAGGATGAGGAAATTCTTCCAAGGCCCATTGGCTGACATAGTCTACTCCAGTCTCCATCCACCCAGATACGTGCTGTCAACACTTGGCTAGAGAAGTTAATCTATTTGTTCTGCTCTCCTTCCTCTGCTGTGGTACCAGATGTCCTCTGCTGGCCCCAATGAACTACCATATCCTCCATGTGCAACTGGGTATGCCATCCAGTTGCTTTAAACCACCAAGGAGGCCCAGTTCTGACACATGTACTCCACACTCAGACCACAGATCCTGTGATTCTCCCCATGGTGATCCCAGACCTGACTGTGTGTGCTTACCGATATGAGGACTAGCTCAGCCCATCACCCACATCAGCCTACACACAGTGGCAGTTGCAACTGCTGCGTCAGTTCTCTTCAGCCCATTTGTTAAGTAAACCAATGAAAGCTGCGTTCCAGTCCAACCCTGCCACCACACACTCAGCCCTCATATACACCAGCAGGAGCTGCAGCCTAGTCAGAGCAACCCCCAATAACCCTCACTAAGCCTGCCCCAGTCCTGGATCTTGCACTCTCCACGTGGTAGTCTTGCCCGACAGGATTGCTCCCAGTCCCAACATTTGCCAGCTGATGCTGCAGCAAAGCCCGACCAGCCTGCACCTACTCTGGTTCATACACGCACCACTGGATGCAGTTGGCTAGCCCAGTCTGGCTCTCTCCCTAACCCAGCTTACATGCAGGTCAACAGGTGTTGTGGCTGTGCATCCAATCCCAGTTCTCACACTCACAAGTGAGAATAGAGGCCCAGCAGGGGAGCCCCCCGAACTCCCCACTACAGGGCTTGTCCCTTCTCTCCCCCAGGTCTCAGGTGTGCTGCAGCCCAGTCTGACAATGGCCTGCCTCACCCAAGACACTATGTTTAACATTGTGTCCTCAGTTTATGATCAACAACAGGCATGAAGGATTCACGCCAAAGCAGAAGTCCAGAAAATATTCTCAGTGCAGGTTGAGGCCCAAGAGTTGATTTTAAAATAAGTTTCAATTTACACCAAAACACCTACATTTACTTCTTTATTTTAATAGAGAAGGAGTCCAAACCACTGCTCTGTTAGGCTTTGGCTCTGCACCACACACACACAGAGTACTGCTCTGTTAGGCTTTGGCTCTGCACCACACACACACAGAGTAATGGGTACTCTAAGGAGGGCTCTTCACTTCCTAGGCTTGCCCTCACGATGCTAGGACAAGCTTGGAGGCTCAAGGAGGAGTCATTCAAAACCAAGACAGAAAGCTCAGAACGCAGTCAGTCAGTGGTGGGGAAGGGGGAACCCTAGGGCCGGGGCGCTCTGAAGGACAGAGAACAGGACCTCAGATAGCAGAATGCAACTCTGCTTCTTCTCTCTGCCCACAAACTTCAAGATCCATAGCCTTAGAGCAGTTGGCTCTCACTGACCCCAACACTGATGCAAATGGACCAAAACAAAGTAAAATCCCGTGACAGCTATACATAGGTACCTGTAGGACTACCTGTCCTTGACAGCACACGATACCGAAGGAAGGGCAGCCTCCTGAGCCATCGACCTCACGATGGTCACTGTGGTTTAATCGCTGGAAATTAGGAGGGTTAATTTGGAGGGTAAGACAAGGACTAGCTCTCCAATTTTATAACGAAATGAGATCCTGCTCCCAAAGGAAAATGATACGCTCAGTGACCAATGGAACCTACAAAAGCCTTTGTTATAAAGTCAGGATAGGTTGCCGTTCCCTGTATCCCATTACCAATCAATCTTGGTTTGAATAACCCACGTAATTGGAATATGACCGCACACCACACAGACCAGGTCAAAAACTTATAGATGGAGCCTCCTGTCACTAACCCCTGAATACCAAAATAGCCACAATCTTTGCTGAGTTTTCAGCTTGCAGAGGTTTCAAGGTCGGCCCCACGTAGCCTTCCATGGTAATAACACTGGGATTTTTAAAAAGGCCGTGGCTTTCATGAAACAATAGCTGGAAAGGTTATCAATACATTTTTAAATTAAAGAATCACTGTACAAAATTTCATTACAGTTAGATTTAAGCGGATTTCATGCGATAAAATAACTGTGCATTAACAGCCTACCTATTCCTGAGTTAGCTCCCGTTACGACGACCACTTTGCCGGAGAAGTCTCGGCCCTGGAGGATTTCCATGGCGGTGGTGCTGCCGTCGTATCTCTGTCTGGTGGTTGGCTTCATTGGATTGTCATCCACAGTAAATGCCAGTCTTGGGTCCAAGTAGGTGGTTCTTTTATTTATATGGCTGGAAAAAAAAAGTTCAGACAAGCATTTGTAAAGAATCCATTTAGGATGTACTGCAGAGCTTACTCTCAAGCCTGAAAAGAACAGGGACCCCCTCAATCTCCTTGCTGGCCTCCAGGAGGCTGGGGTCCCTCCCAGGGGAATGCCACGGCAGCTTCTCCTCAGAGCTTCTCTAGGATACACAGTGCCGCTCCATGACCACCACCTTGTCACCTCGGGCCCCAGCAAAGGCCTCCTGGAAGGCTCAGGCTTTCACTAAGTCGTGTAAATATGCCTGTGCAATGTCAGTCACTCTTCTTAGGAAGATGCCAATTCAATTTCTCAGCCTTGGACTGCCTGACAAGAAGACAACCCCAAATAATAAAAGTCTTGATAGACAGAGAATGGCCCAACAAATGCAGTTCTCATCGTTTTCATTTTTAGATAGATACTTTTAGATAGACACGTCTGACAGTTAATTTTAATTTAGAGTTAATCTCCATCTTGATGACAGATTTCATGACTTAAGACATATTTGCGTTGTGTGTGTATATGCAAGATCAGAGAGCATAAGATCTGCATCTGCTACCGGATGCACACTAAGAACCCAGGTTAGCCCCATCTTCCCGAGAAGCATCAGGAGCTCAGGGTGGTACCCAGACAGCAGGGCTACATGCTGAAGCAGGCTCTCACGACCTAAACAGCCAAAGCACTGCTTCTTCCCCACTCCTCAGTGACTCCTCTGTGGGGCTGAAGTTGGCTTTGGTAGGAGGACCTACACCACAGCAAGAGCCAGGCCTCTCCCTAATCCTGCAAAGCTGTTCTTACTGTCTCCTCTCTGCCCATAAACCTGAAGATCCATAACCTTAGAGCAGTGGCCTCTCTCAGACTCCAACACTGATGCAAATGGACCAGAACAAAGTAAAATCCCGTGACCAGCTGCACACAGGTACCTGCGGGACCTAACTCCTACAAAGGGCCCAGAGGAGGCATGGTGCTAATTTTGCTCCAAAATCCCTACTTGTTCCTCTAGATCCGATCAGGAGTTGGCAAACTACGGCTGACGGGCCAAATCCAGCCTGCTGCCTATTTCAGTAAATAAAGTTTGCCTGGAACACAGCAATGCCCCTCACAGGTATGTATTATCTATATAGCTGTTTTGACTGCTATAATGACAAGCTTGAATAGCTGCCACAGACACCCATAACACCTACAAAGCCTACAACTATTATCTCACCCTTTACAGAAAAAATGTTGACAGTTCCTGCTCCGTACCCATCAGAGTCCCCGAAAGGGCCAGAGAAGCTCAGCTTGCCAGTCCAGGCCTGGAGCAGCTGACTCCAAGGGTGAAGGCGGTGCCTGCAATGAATCCCCAGGGATCTTGATGTTGCTGGCCCAGGAGCTACAATTCAGAACCTACACCCCCCGCCAAGGAGTCCAATGCCTGTTTTCAGAGAATGACTGCCCAAACGTGTGTGAGAGTACAGAGACCACACAGAAGTTTATGAAATGTTACACTGATTCTTTAGATGGCTGACAAAGTTAAAAGAAAAACTTGGGTAAACCATTTGCACACTAAGCAAAGGGTTGAGATTTTTAATTTTGATTTCTTAACATGAAATTAACTGTATTAAGCAAGGTAAGGAAACATTTTACAAACTGATATGCAACAACAAACAAATCCACTCTATGCAATATACCAGACTGTCTCCACCTGGGCTTCCCATGGTGACTGAGAGACCCCCTTTCAGAAAGCCCGGATCCAGCAGCTCCCAGTACTGCAGGTGCACTAAGTATCCAAGAAGTTTGTCCAAAAACTACTTATTCCTTTTGAACTTGTTACTTTAACTGCATGATTTAATGAACTATCATTATTGCAAACAGATAATGTGTAATATAAACTGTCAGAACATCAATGAAAATCTGGTTGAGAGCCTCAAAGAATAGTTAAAAGGAAAAAATTAGGAAGAGAAAGGAATTCTAAGTGCTGACTCCAGCCTTCTGAGCCAGCTTCCTGCTAATGCACCTGGGAAGGCAGAAGATGGTCCAGGGCTGGGTCCCTCACAACCACACAGGGGACCAAGAGGAAACTCCCAGCATCCTCCTACCTCAGCTCCAGCTGCTGTGGACACGTGGAGGGTGATGGCTGCCACGGTTACCAGAGGAGGGCAGAGCCTGCTTCAAGCCCGGTCTCAGGCTACAACCCAGAAGGGACTGCAGAATTCTGGCGTGCCCATCAGGCAACAGGGTCACAGCGCCACCAATGATGGACACCAGCCAATATCCCCCACCAAATAAGGGCCAAAGTGACCCTTGCCTCAGCTTTCATGTCAAGGGGGGTTTAAAACTCCCTTGCACGCTGCTGCTTCCTCCTCTGTAGCTCCCTGCTTCTCGTCTGTCTGTCCACTACACAGGGAAGGGAAGCCCATGACCAAAGTTCCCTGGAATAAAGACCATCTAAATTCCTTCCTAGATGCGGCCGATGTCTTCTCTCCCTGGCGGTGAGTGAATCTGACAGGTGGAAGAGCTCTCTATCGCTCGCTTACGCTATCTGTCTCTTTCTATTGCTCTGCCTTTCAAATAAGTAAGTTTTCTTTTAAGTTTTTGCGCAATCAAGTTCAGTGAAAGGATAACACCAGAAAACAAACACACACACCTCTAAAAATATAAGATACAGCATACAGATTCTTTGAAAATACAGATTTTTGCTAAACTTTAAAGAAGGTGAAAAGGTAAACTGTAGATCCTATGTGTTAGGAGAAGTCTTTGGAAAGGCAGGCCTAACTACAGTCCAAACAGCACACTTACATCCCAAGAGTGGCCTGGCCTGTCGCCAAAACTTAGTGGACTTAAGCCAAATGGTCAAAGAAAATTTTGATACTTATATAGCTTTAAAAAAAAATCCTGCTTCTACTAACCAAGGAACCCTAATCCTACTAAATATGCAAACTTCTGACGGACATATTGACAATCATCAAGCACACATTCTTTTTTTTTTTTTTTTTCCAACTAGTGCAGTTAGGAGAGCGGAGCCTGAAGTGATTGCTGGGCTCCAATCCTGGACCTGTGACTTGGGCGTCATGGGAGCCCAGCCTGTGTCCTCAGCCAGAAGTCAGCACTCTAACAGGCAGCACTCCACAGAGGACTGCGGCGCTTACATGAACTAACACCATCCGAACATCGCCGGCCTCGTGCTATCTGCTTACAGTTGGCTGGGATCGCTGTGTGCTGCTAAAGGTGGAATCAGAGAGGTGAAAAGCTTTTACAGATAAAAATCCTCCAATCAGTATTCACAGTCATAGATCACCAATAGTAGAAATTTAACCTCCATGTGCAGGAGACACAGATTAATCCTATCTATAAAAAATAAGCCTCAAGAGCCATCAAATTGCACCTTCTTAAAAAAAATACAGAAGGATATGAGAAAATGCCCGTGGGGTATTATTTGGAAAAGAAGGTTACTAAACAGCTCAGAGCGTGTGGTTCCTACCTCTACTGAAATGAAAGCATGTGCACAGAAAACAGAAAAAAACAAATCTCCTGCTGCTAAGATTACAGGTATACACACTGCATGTTTTTCTACGATGTGTAATATATTTAGAGCTTAAAAGAAAATCCCATCAAAAAGCAAAACTGTCAAGAAGAGTATCTCCATCGACTTACTCAACGAAAAACACTTGTCCATTCTCATCAGTTTCTTGCTCCCATCCATACGGCAGATCTGAAACACAACAAACGAAGGTAGGTTGGCACGGGCCTGGGTGAACCCACAGTAGGTTGGCACGGGCCTGGGTGAACATAAGCCAGCACACAGGAACGTCATGCCTTCCCTACCCTCTTAGTCTAGTCTTCCCAACCAGCAGTTGCTTCAACACACTTTGGTCCTGTGTTCCAATCGAGGCAGCTGTCGAAGGTTCATTCCCCAACAGACTCCAACTTTCTATGTCTTGTTTTGGCACAAAACCCTATTTCATTCTTCAACAGTATTGAACGTCCCATCTCACTCCTGTTTTAGCTGTAAAACTTACTGGATGTTAAACCAACAGAAATTCCCCTTTGAATGAGTTTGCAGAATGCATCGCTACACAGCAGGCAGCCGCCATGATTTACACACTGACTGTGTGAAAAATGTACTTAAACTTTTCTTCCTGTGCACAAGTTGTCTCTTCAATCAGACCCCAAACCTCTTCCAGGGAATGAACCACAAGAGTTTCACAAACCACGCAGCTACTGGAAAACCTGCTAAACTGCAAATTGAAGGCTCCGATTCTTTCGTCCCTCCATGGCATAATCTGGTCACCTCCTTGCCAAAGCCCACAGGCTCCCAGAGTCCTGGACGTTTAGCATCCTCTATGCTAGAGCCTTCTTCAGATAATACCAGGACTGTCACCCTGCCGGTGACATCTCCCGACACAAGGCTCTGCTTTAGGACAACGGCATACAAACCTCCTGCTACTCGTTTTCTTTTTCCAGTTTTTGGGTGTTCCCATTGAGTCTTCTCCTCAGTGTGACTGTTAAAGGAAAAACAAAAAATCTTAAGTAAAGGTTCACATGTCTAAAAAGTAGTCAATTATACTGCACCATTTCTCTCCCGTGTGTGTGTGTGTGTGTGTGTGTGTGTGTGTGTGTGTAGTCACACGCTGGGAGGAGAACCGCACCGAAGTTCTGGAGGGTCAGAGGAGATGCCGAGAGGCTGGAAGGAGAAGTCCTCCCGCAAGCCTTTGAAAGCCGACAGCGAGGCACAGGGAGGGGTGGAGTGCCCAGCGGCAGAGAGCCTGAGGGATCACTCAGTAGCTAGCATTGTGTCTTGTATTTGCTTTGGTTTTATTCCAAGAGATATGGGCAAAAAATGAGTGCCTAGTTTACAAAGCTGATATCAAAACACAACTTTCCTTTCTCTTTCCATGTGTCTTCTTTTGATGTGTTTTTCTAGAGAAACAACTTCAACAGCCCCAGAGGCAGTCCAGAGCACAGGCAGGGCAGGCACTGGGCGCAACTTCAGAACACCCCCCACCAGGACATCCAGGTTCCAGTCGCAGCTCCCATTCCGGCACACCCCAGAGGCAGCAGGGGACGGGTCAAACACTCAGGTTCCTCCACCCGCACGGGCTGCACGGAGTTGCAGGTTCCTGGCTTTGGCCAGGCTCAGCTCCAGCTGTCATGGCATCTGAAGAGTGAGCCAACAGACAGAAAATTCTCTCTCTTTCCCCTCCCTCCTTTTCTCTTCCCACGCCCTTGCTCCACCTTTCAAATAAATAAACAGACATGCTGTATACAAAGGCTTTCACGCAGAACCTGGCATATGAAACAGCATCAAAAGTGCTAATATTTGGAACAAATTATACAAACCAGACATCAGAAAAACAAAACTGTGTTGACACATGTTCTTGACCTTGACAGACAAGGCCTACACCGGGGCTTCTTAGCACTTGGGGCAGGGTAACTCAGCAGGTGCCAGTGTGCCACTCCTCTCAACATGTCTCCAGACTCTGCCTACCATCCCAGTGGGAGGACCCAGGACAAAGAGCAGCATGTGCAAGCCCTCTGCAACCTTAGGCCCTCATCGAAACAGCAGCTAGGGCCCAGCACAGTGGCTCAATAAGCTAATCCTTCACTGCCAAGCACCACACTCCATATGGTTATTCCACTTCCCATCCAGCTCCCTGCATGTAGCCTGGGAAAGCAGTCAAGGATGGCCCAAAGCACCGGCGTGGGAGACCCACGTGGGAGACCCGGCAGAGCTCCTGGATTTGGATCAGCTTAGCTCTGGCCATTGCAGCCATTTGGGGAGTGAACCAGCAGATGGAAGATCTTCCTGTCTCTCCTCCTCTCTGTAATCTGATCTGCCTTTCCAATAAAAATAAGTAAATCTAAAAAAAAAAATAAAAATCATGACTTATGTCTCTATGTTATTCTTCCCTAAACAGAAATCCTCTATATCGTCTCCTTAGTAAGCTTTTTCTCATTTGATGAGATAATTAACAGTAAGCACTTAAACCCAAGCACTCAAAATTAAATGTACTCCATGCTCCCCGAGTGCTGTGTCCAAGCATGCTCTCATAGACAATGATTTAACACAGCACAGAGGCCTAGCGCCAATGGAGGTAAACCAGCCCTGTGGACAGACCTGCCAGGAGGAAGCCCCAGCCAGGCCTGTGGGGCTGTGACAACACTCCTGGCCCTGGGCCTCAGCCTCCCGTCGCCATCTGTGTGCAAGGACTGCTTGGAGACTATGCGGAGGTGACAAAGACACATACATTGCATCCCTCTGGTTTCAGGGCTGCCGCAGCGATAGAACATTCCAGAGATTCTCCTGAGGAAGCCCTGCCTGGTGCACTTGGGCATCAGAGGACACGAGTGCCTTTGTGGCCGATGAGCACACCTGAGAGAGGGTGGGAAATCGGGAGGGGCACACAGCACCCACTCAGGGTTACAAGTACGGGGTAGGGGCATGGTTTGCAGGAGACTTTGAGGCTTCAAGAGGACCTCCAGCCTCTGTCCACTGACGGGGCCCTGCTGCAGGATGGGGAAGACGGCCAGGAAGAGAAGCAGCCAAAAAGTTGGTCTAAAGTTCATGAGTGAAGATTCCCAAACCCCAAGAGCAAAACAAAAAACTTCCAGAGTCAGATGGGAAAAGGAGAAACCAACAGCCACTAGGGGGCGGCGGGGACACCCCGGGAGAAGACCAACAGAGGCTTCCTTCAGCCCCAAGCCGAAGAACACCGGGCCAGCAGGGTGGGAAGGAACCAAGCTCAGCCAGCACTGAGGCCACACAGCCCCATGAGTCCCAAGACACTGCTGGGGTCAGAGGAAGGACAAAGCGCACAGGCCCAAAGGCGAAAAGCCACACCACATGAGCAAAGGCATGGCAAGGCAAGGCCCAGGCTGCACCAGCAGCAGGACAAACCTGGAGAGGAGCGGGGATGTGGGGGGAACCTCAAGGGCTCTGAGAGGCCCCACACAGAACAGACTGCAGAAAAGGGGACCGGAAGCCTCAGTCTGCCCCCAGCCCAGCACGCCCTCCGCCCACACAGGCCTGCTGCTCATCTCCATGAGACCAATTCCCTGACTCGCCCCACGTGTGCAACTCCTGGGCGCTGGATGCGAGACAGGTGAACCACCAGAGATGACACAGGTGAAGCCTGTGGACAGGGCCCAGTGCCAGGCAGCCGAAGGCCCAGCGGCTGGGGCACACCCCCTCAGGGCAGGGGAATCTGGGCTGGGGGGAGAGAGGCAAGCTGCCCCTCCCACCAAGATGCCCAGGGCTGAACAAGGACAGCACTGCCTGGACCCCGGGACAGCCAGCAGGCCCCCACTGCTAGAGCTCTCTTGACTTCTCCCAGAAACCCCTTCAAAAGTCACAAACCCTGATGTCACTTCCTGACTGCCCCCCTGGGGAACCCCAAGCCTGACGTCACGCCCCACGCCAGGCACAGAGAAAACTGCCCGGCCTGGGCTCTTTCTGTCCAGCCTCCATCCTCAGGCCGCGGACCACCGTCCATGGCACGGCTCCTGCACAGGCCAGGCACAGTCTCCATCCACGCGGGCCATTCCCTGCCACCTTGAGTCACATCTGCTTCTCCCTGTGGTCAGAACAGACTCCCAGGGGGCCTCCCGAAGGGAACACACCCAGGGCGGGAGGGCCAGGCTGGCGCTCCGGACACACATAACACTGGGAACAAACTTTCTAAAGATGTGGGAGCTGGTGGAGCAGCCGAGGGCAGGAGCGTCAGAGCTGTGTGACCCCACGTGCATCCTCATTAGAGCTCTCGCTGCTTCCCTGCCTACCTGGCCACTAAGGACATCGGGGTGGAGAAGACCCACCGCGGGGATTCGACAGTGCCCCAGCAGGAGGATGAATGGGCCCTAACTCACCCAGGCGGAATTTCGAAGATGCAACCCCAGAACAAAACGAGCCAAAGGCCCTTCCAGGTGCTGAAGATCAGGGCTTCACGCCCTTGTTTCTCCACACCAGATGACAACCCATCTCACCTGCAAAGTGTGGCAAGCTCACGGTTCCCTCGAGTTAGGGATCCGCCAGAACTGAGACCTGAACGCTCCAAGTGCTTCAGGCACACAACCTCGACAGACCCCTTACTGACCCACTCTGTAGACGGGAAAACTGAGACGCGGGGTTTTCTCAACGGGCGGCTGGAGTGCGCGCCCGCGGTCCCACCGCTGGTGACGGCCAAAGGCTCTGCTAGAATCCCCCAGAACTTTCCCTGGAGAAAGCTACAAGGGCAAAGAAAAACACGGACACCTGGGCTTGCAACCCAGACCTCCGAAGAGGGAACTGGGCCTCTCCATGGTTTTGTGTTTCTCAAATGTCTCCATTTGGAGGGGTTCCAGGGTGGGCGTGACACCTGTCAGCCCCTTCTGCACCTGCGGGGCTGTCTTCTCAGCAGCAGAGGGCGCGCCTGGACACCCCCGCTTGACCCAAGGCCCACCAAAGGGGCACGGCCCCCTCTCTGGGGGTGTCTCTGCAGAACCTTCCAACAATCACTTGCACTCGGCGCTGCCCTGGCCAAGCTGGAGCGCGGGGCCGGCACGGGGTCCCGGGCGCGAGAAGCCGGCAGGGTTCCAGGGGCGTCCCAGGCCCGGCAGCCCCCTTACTTGGCATAGTACACCCAGCCGTCCTTGGTGGTTCTCTCCTCCCAGCCCGGGGGCAGCTCGTCCTCGCTGTCCGTGTCGTCCAGGCCCGCGTAGCGCAGAGCTGCCATGGCCGACACAGAGAGGGCAGGTGCTCGCTGGCCTGAACGCCCGCCGCCCTGTCTCCTCCTCACCCAGGAACTCTCCCGCTCCAACCGAGCGCCGCGCGCGTCGGGAGCCCGGCCGCACGCGCCTGCGCCCTGCGCCGCCCGGCAGCGCGCCCCGACTCCGCGCCTGCGATCCGCTCTCCGGGCTTTAGCGGCTGCCGGCCGCAAAGGGGCGGAGCCTGGAGGGGCCGGCTGCGAGAGCGCGCGGAGAAGGTGGCGGCGCCGCGCGGCTGGAAGGAAAAGCCGGAAACACGACGTGCGTGAGGGGACGGAGCGGAGCTGCTTCGCCCTCCGGTCAGCCGAGAAGGGGCGTGCGCGTCCAGTCAAGGTGCAGGACTCCGCCCGTTGCTGGGCGACCCGTAATCACTTCCGCGTTGTTCTGTCCAATCCCGGGGGAGCCTGGGCAATTATGCATTCTGGGAAATGTAGTCCAAGCCCAACAGGAGTAGAAACCCTAAACTCTGTCTTCCACAGACCCACATGTCTGTGACGTGACAGCACTCTGGAAGGGTAGACAACCGCCCCAGGAGACAGCAAAACATACAGAGGTATGTAGTTAGACGTATATAAAAAGCTGCTTCCCAGGCCTGTGTTAAGGGGACCTGTAACCACGGCTTCTCTGGCCTAAGTTTTAGTCAGAACGTCCTGTAGGAACCGAGCGGGCTGCTTTGGTTCTTCGAGCGGATTATATTGCAGTGGGATTCCCACACGGCTCGCTCTGAGGGAGACAGACCTGCTTTCCCCAGCTTGCCCAAAGGAAGCCGAGCTAATGAAAGCACGCTTGGTTTGACAGGCCCGCTGGCCCTTCGTCCCCTGCCGGGCCTTTCCTCAGAGCCGCTGGGTGGGCTGGGTGGGCTCCCCTCGGCTTCCCCGTCCTCCTCCTCCACGAGCCCGCCTGTTCCTGTGAGACAAGGAAGAAAGCGGGGCGCAGCGTCCCCACGCGAACGAGGCCCCAGTTATTGGCCCCCTCAGCTGCTGCCTCGACTGCCCTCCGTGCCCTGCCCTGGCACCTGCGGCCTGGGACTGGCCTGCCACCAACTGCATTCCTATCCGGAGCCGGAGAATCCCCTGTAACCCTGGGCGTGTCGTGATTTTCCGTTATCTGTGCATTGTAGAGCCTTGAGCAGGCAGCTCTGGCTTCCGGCCACCCGAGGTGGTGGCGTTGCCCTCTCCCACACGTAGGCACCGTTGAGAACCACTGGTCTACACTGACTGTGGTCAGGGAAGCCGAGGGAACGCTGCCGAGCAGCACTGGAGCGCCCGTGTCCAGGGCAGTCCACGGCCGATCCGGGCTCTGCGGGCAGCCAGGAGGCCCTGCTGGCTGAGGTCTGCACCTTGGGCTGGGTGCACCTGCCTTGCAGCGTTTTATCCCATGTGTAGGTCAGACAATAAACGGCAGAAACTGGCAGATCTGGGCACCAAGAGCAGTCCCGAGTGGGTGCCATGATCTCAGTATCCACCCTCTCCCCACATCTTAGTTGCCAGGCTCTACCAGATGATGGAAAATGACATTAGAACCAGCAGGAGCTTTCGGGGCTTTCCTTGCAAAGTGCAGCTTACAGCCTTTTGGCTTCACTGAATCTCACACTTGAGTTGGTTTGATGCTAAAGGCCAGGGATTTGTTGAAGAGCAGGAGTGCAGGATCAGAGCACCCGAGGGGAACTGGCAAGTGATCGGGCCATGTCCGAAGGCGCCAAGGGCAGCTCTCTGCTCTGCCATGGCTCTGTAGCCTCTAGCATCCCCCTGCATCAACATGAGCTGCTGCGTTCGCCCCTTCCCCTTCCAGCTCCCACTGTGTCCTCGGGACCCCTGCCCCCTGCTGCTTAGCTTGCTCATGACTTTAACTTGGCTCTTGTAAGGATCTTTCAGTCAGCAAATCCAGTCCGCTCCATTCGGAAGATTGGAATGGGTTTGAAGAGACATAAGGTTAAGGAGAAGGCAATGTCCGCCCAGGGAAAGCCTCCAAAGTGGTTTGTTTAATAAATCAGCAGAATCCCGTAGATGTTAGGTGAGGACATTTAAAAACCAACTCTGAGTGTGTGTGTTTCTACAACTGCACACCAGGTGGCCCCACGTGCCCACGATGTTCATCGCCAAAGCCCAGCTCTCAGGAAGGATTCCGTGCCGGACCTTCAGGTCCTTTTCGGTTACTTCCACTCACTGACAGCCTCTGGGTACTGGATGAATCAGGTTTAAGCAAATGCACTTTGACATTACTCAAAAGAACTGTGTGCAATGGGTACAAGTTCAGTGGAACATTCCTGAAATCACGTTTCTTCTCTTATCATAAGGATATCCTTTGCCCTTCCCTGCCACCCTCGCACCCACAAATACCCCAAGAATTCTATAAACTCCACCTTGAATCGGGGGGAGCTGAGCCTGATGTGTTTGTGCAGAACTCAACATGCTAAGGAAGTCTGCAGGCATTTCTGGCACTTCTGCTAAGCTTCTCACTGTGAGGTTCCATCAGGAAAAATATTGAGCAGGACTGATAGGATAAATCCTATTAATGTGGCTTCATGAATGTGCTTGTATTTTACTTCACGCACGCATGCACACACACACATACACACGCACACACAGGGGAGGGAAACTCGAGCTGTGCTTCAGAGGAGAGAGACGCCCCACATGGGACCAGATTGGCTGGCACCCAGGTCATTAGGGTGTGAGAGTGCTAAGTTCAAGTCCAGCCCTATTGGCAGACAATAAGAGGGAGAGAGACTTGGTGTTTTAGGGTGTCCTGTCATTTTTTTCCCCTTGGGGATCCAGCGGGTGTCACCTACATGCAGTGTGACAGTAGCCAAGTTCCTGAACCTCCCTTCACTGCATCACCTGAGAGATAAAAGTAAGAGGTGCTTACCTCAAAGCGGTATTGTCCACAGATGTCAGGGTAGAATCAGTAAAATACACTAGAGCTTTGACGTGTAGAATTTACTAGAGGGAATTCATCACATGGAGTGTGGAAGAGCTGAGCAGACACGTGCTGGCTGATGAAGGAAGCAGGGGACAGGGAGAGCAGGAAAGCCATCTGCACAGCTCAAGGCCCCTCATTTCCTATGCCAGTGACCTCGGGTAGGGGACGGGGGTAACAGACTCACCCCGGGTCAGGCTGTCTTGGCCTGGTGAAAGGTTTGCTCTTGAGACTCAAAGCCATGACCACTGGGGAATGACACAATCAAATGTATAATCTTTTTTTAAGATTCATTTATTTTATTACAAAGTCAGATATACAGAAACGAGGAGAGACAGAGAGGAAGATCTTCTGTCTGATGATTCATTCCCCAAGTGACCGCAACGGCCAGTACTGCACTGATCTGAAGCCGGGAACCAGGAACCTCTTCCAGGCTTCCCACGTGGGTGCAGGGTCCAAAAGCCTTGGGCCGTCCTCACCTGCTTTCTCAGGCCATAAGCAGGGAGCTGGATGGGAAGTGTAGCTGCCAGGACTAGAACCAGCACCCATATGGGATCTTGGTGTGTTCAAGGCAAAGACTTTAGCCACTAGGTCACGCCGCCGGGCCCTGTACAATTTTTTAAAAAGATTTGCTTCTTTGAAAGGCTGAGTGACAGGCCCTGCCCCCTTCTTGCACTGATCCCGCCCCTTTGACTCAGCAAAATGTTCTAGAATTCCTCCTTCCCAAAGAAGTGGGTCCTGGCACATTAGCCCCGTGGCTAAAGTTCTCCCCTCACACACACCGGGATCCCATATGGATGCCAGTTCTAACCCCAGGGACCCCACTTCCCATCTAGTTCCCTGCTTGTGGCCTAGGAAAGCAGTGGAAGACGGCCCAGAGCCTTGGAACCCTGCACCTTAGACCCGGAAAAGGCTCCTGGCTCCTGGCTTTGGATCAGATCAACTCTGGCCATTACAGCCACCTGGGGAGTGAATCAAAATCAAAGGACAGATCTTCCTCTCTGTATGTCTGACTTTCCAATAAAAATAATAAAATAAATCTTTAAAAAGAAGAAGTGGACCAGTTACAAGGGAGTTGTGGCTGAGTGCCCCTCCCAAGCTTCTCTTGATGCTTGTCTTTTGACAAGTACCTGAGACAGGACTGCATTTGCCAGCTCATTTGAATCTCCATTGATTTGTTCATTTGGTTGTTAAACAACCCCTGGAAGTTGAGAACCACAGCCAACCTGCACTTTCAACCGGTTACTGTAAGGCTGACCTTACAGTAACATTGCACGTGTAAATGAAGCTAGCACATGAGACACATACAATGTAAATCATGAAAGCTGAACTTTGGTTTCACCAGTAAGCCAAAACTGATTAAGCAGAAAATGCTCAAATCTGATTCAAGAGGTGGGCAATATAATGGACTGCAAATGTTTCTTTCCGTGTGTCTGGCTGTGACTGTCTGGGCTTGCACCGAAGGGGGCCTAAGGCGCTCTGCTTGTTTTGGCTGAGCCGGCGGTAGAGTGGGAGCACCCTGGCCTTGGAGATCAGTTCATCTCCATGCAGCCATCAGCATTCATTAAACACCAGTCAGCTAGGTGCCAGGACTGCTAAAGGTTGACTTGCAGTGTCTTCCACAGCCCTCTCCTGCTGCCACTGCTATTTCCGCTGTTACTTCATGAACCTAGAAGCCTGTCCTTTCTTAATTCCTGTGCCTTACATCATAGGGTCCAGCTTTTACATATCCAGCTTGTTCCAGGTACTCTTCATGTGCCACTTCCTGTCAAGGGCAAGCCTTATTCTCTGCAGTATTAATGCAACAGGGAAGTGCTACATTTGAGGACATGGGTTCTTGGTCTGGTCTTGTAGTTACTGTCTATCGTTGGCCAGAACTTTTTGCAGACCAATGCAAGTGCCCACCCCTTGATCCCCAGAGTTCCTGATGTGTTGTTACATAGCACAGGGGTGTTAAGGTGGTGGGTAGAATAAAACTTGTTCATGAGCAGACCTCAAGAAAAGGAGATTGAGCTGGGTTATTTCAAGGGGGCCAGGAAAAGCATAGGAGTCCTTACCATGAAAGCCAAAGGCAGAGGCGGGGGTCAGTGTGATGTGACGTGAGAAGAACTTGACCCACCACTCTGAAGACAAAGGAGGGAGGTCTTGAGCCCAACAACGTATGCAACCACTAGCAGGCAGAAATAGTGACACTGGATGCTCTGTTGGA